AACTTCGACCTTTTGTATTCTTTTAATGCTTAGCTCGACCAAAATCAAACCCGAGATCCTCGAAACGTTTAGACCTCAAAACTCTTCAGTAAATTTTGGAATATGAAACATTTAGATATACTCGTTGGTGTAGTGTCTGCAAGTGTCAGGAAAATCGCGTTTGATTTCTGGGCCGGACAATTATTTTTCATAGTTAATACCTTAGATCAGGGGAGGCCAATTGTGACAGAAGTATGATCTACTTTTGCCAACAAACCCTAAAGGATCTACCCTCTGAATGTCTTTTACCATGTTCTTTTTGCTATTAAAAGAATCTTATTAGAAATTATTGAAAATTTATTTTCGGAAATTAATATTTGCTAACCGTTGAAATTTTTTCTTCTTAAATGTTCAGTATAATAAAATAAATAGGTAGCTAATACATATTTGACTTTGCAATGCTCCAGAACGTAGTTGCGTCATCTTGTTGTAGTAGTTGTTCTGTGAGGGGTGGTAGCTGGGATCAATACCTAACCTAAACAATCCAATATCAGGGAAAATGTAGGTACGGTTTCAATATTATACCACATTTTCGCATATGTCAAAAAATCACTACTTTGACTCACATGTTTTAGCATAACTCAGGGGAAATACTAAGCACTGGTAAAATAGAAACCGGCCTATAGTTATTGGGTTCCGCGCTATCACCGGATTTAAATAATGGAACTACTTTACTGTGCTTCATCAAATCCGGAAAAACCCCTTGATCTATGCTTTTATTAAAAATGAAAGCTAAATGAGGCGCTATAGTCTCTATAAAAGCCCTACACACCCTAACCGACATTCCCCAGAGATCTTCAGTCGACTTAACTTTGATATTTTTAAACGCTTTAATGACTGCTTGGGGGTTTGTGTACTGAAACCGAAAAACAGAAGGGCATTCTTTAACGTTACTCCACTGAAAGAGTTGGAGATGATTTCAACGCTTCTGTAGTTTTAAGCGGTATATTTTTAAAGAAATTTTCAAATTCCTGGGCAACATTCGAATTTGTACTGATGCGTCCATTTTCGGTATTTAAATTAAATTCAGCGTTACGTGATTTATTTCTACAAACATACAAGTTCACATACACATGACACCCAGACCCGGAACAACAATTTGTGGATTACACAGAGTTGTCCCGTGCGGGAAGCGAACCCGCGACACGTTGCGCGACTCCCGGTTGCCAAGCCACCGTGCAATCAACGTTGGTCCATTGTATATCTAATATCTTTGGAATGCCACAGACTAATCCACACCTAAAGTCGAGGTATGCTGAAATTGTATACCTCATATGAAAGCTTCATAAAAAAGTAAATAGGTATTTTTTTGTAAAAAATGCACAACGAGAGTAACTTTTTACATTAGAAATATGGTTCATATTTCTAAGTCAAACTTAAAAAAAAAATCGTATACTATTATTATTGTGTATTTGATGATTATAACTAGTAAATAAACTAATAAAGTAAGAATTATGATTTCCTAATCTAGAAGTTTCTTTGCATGTTCGTTCGTTTTAACGTTTATAACTCGAAACTGTCTAAACAGATTTTGATGACATAATTATACTTACAAGTGACTTTGACTTTGAACTTAACACTAAAAGTTCAATTACCCGGCCTTAAAATATTGAACTTTACTGATGCGGAGAGTGACGGAGAGGACTTAACGGTGCATGAATCACTGTGCTCGAAATCTCCGCTCCACTTCAATGGAAACAGCACGAGCGGGTGGAGCAGAGCTGTGCGGATATTCATAATAAAAATACATCGAAGCGATGGGCTGCGGAGGACGGGACAACGAGCATTGGGGTGCAGAGCGGAGGACAGCAGAGCGGTGCTGTGCGGAGGACAGTGGGGTGGTGCTGTGCTGAGGACAGCGGGGCGCAACAATCAATGCTACTTCATCTGATTTGTTATCTTTGTTTTCAAGTGGAGAAAGATATTAAATTATTGCTTTTTTCTTTTTAAACCATAGTTTTGGAATCGCGCATTTATGCTCCGCTCCGCTCCATTCCACTCCACTTCACTCCGCTTCAGTGAAAACACTGACCACTTTTCACCGTTCCTCTCCGCCCAGCTTCGCGTCAATGGAAACGCGGCCTAATAACTGTTAACTTCCCTTTGTTCGATATAAAAGTTGGTAATGATATGTTCTACAACCCCATGTATGAGATTGTGCTCTAATAACACATCAACTGTACTCTGTCGATTGTTCCAAATTGCTATAGTTCTAGCGATACGTATTATTTTTTCGTAGGCCGGAAAACTTTCAGATAGTGTCCAAAAAAGCCGAAATGGTCTCCTTTCGGCTTCTAGCACTTCAGAGTGTATCGTACGTTTTGAAGTTCCATACAAACTTCCACCCCCCATTTTAGGATAAGGGGGCGAAAACTATGAGTAAATACATGTATGTGTGTATGTGGTACAGCTTGTAAAAAATATGTAGCCTAACATTTTGATGATCATCAATGAGTATCAGTGTGTCAGTGACGAAATTAGTGTATTTTACACATATAATTAAAACTACCTTCTGCCAGCGGCTTCGCCCGCGTTCCCGTGGGTAAAAAGCAGCCCATGTATTACTCCAGGCTATAAACTACCTCTGTTCCAAACTTAATCTCGGTCCCTTCAGCCGTTTCGATGTGACTGAGTAACAAACATACACACAGACTTACAACAGCGCAAGGTCAATGCACAGTAGAAACATTTCTACTGTGGTCAAGGTTCCCGCTGAACCTAAGACTCGACAACCTTTTGCGTTTGGTACAGTAACTGTGTCTAAGGATATAGTCGGACAATTAAGTTTATATTTTAGTGTATAAACTTTTTCGGGATAAGAGGTATTAAATTATAATCATACCAAGTTTCATTGTAGTCGTACTGGTAGTTTTTACGTCATGCGTGAACATATAGACAGATATTTTTTTTTAATCGCATTTTTGCATTTCGTAATATTTGCAATGTATACAGAATTTACACTTCTACAGTTTTATTATATGTATAGATTATACAGGTGTCCTTGAAGTCCACGATCAAATGGCACCAAGGGGCTTATGTCGGAATACTGAAACGCTACTCAATTTTAAGTCGTGCTTAAGTATAGTTCTATCTCTACAAATTCTTTGTAAAATGACAGAGATGGCACGATGTTTGAGCACGACTTAAAATTGAGTAACGTTTCAGTATTCCGGCATTACTCTTGAATCCAAGTCAATCAAGTTAATCCAAATCCAATCCAGCAGTAGCACGGAGTCCGGAATTGTGCCCGGTATATGGCAATAGGCTCACCCCCTATTACAGGGGGACTCATAACATAAATAGTGAAAAGTGGATGTTACATTGCACAGTGGCATTAAGCGCCGTAATGTGCACCTCTGCCTATCCCTTCGGGGATAAAAGGCGTGATGTTATGTTATGTTATATTATAATTATCTTAAATTCAACACATACAAATATTTTTCAACGAACCTCTGTTCCGAACGATTTATTTGGACTCACTGATATACATTCTAGTGTACCCGAAGAGCACTTAAAAGCCTCGTAACCACTAGGTAACACTTTGCACGCGACATGACATCATCATCATGTTAGAAATCAGCAACGACTTGTTAAACAACATGGTTTGTCTACTCATAATTCGCTCGCAGTAATATCGTCGGCAATATTGTTGCTAGAGAAACAAATGTTGTGGATCACATCTTTTTAACGAAGAGCTGATGTTAAACACCATGATACATGGTACTTAATGTTTAGTAACATCATGTGGACGTAGCAGCGGCGCGGGCGGTGCTTCAACGGCGTCGTGCACACAGTATGGTGACTGTGCGAAGGTGACGCGGTGGCAACCTACTATGAACGAGCTCTTTGGAAGTTTAATCAATTATTCCATCAAAAAAAAAATGGTGATAGGATCGTCCAACCAGGCTACGCGATCATGACTGGTGGGTTACTATTAACGATTTTTTTACGGACGGAATATGATGCTCGATGTGCAGTACTCCGCCATTTGTGAACCAATTTCCAAAATTCTTGTTTTGTTTGAAAGGGTATACTCCCGAGATGGTCCCATTTCCATGAGGTCAGGATCTGATGATGGGATCCTAGGGAAACCGAAGGGAACTTCCGAAAATTCTATGGGCAGGTAATGCGTCTATTATGTTTTTCAATTACGATTTTTAAACACTACAATTTGATAAGGGAGTCGACCTGATGATGGAGCCGACAGACAGTCGAGGGAACTCCTCAGCGGTTTATATTAACTACCTTGTGTTTGGACTTGATTAATTTGTATTGATGAGGACTTTACACCTAGATAGAGTGGGACTGTCATTAAGGGTCTGATGATGAAGAGGTGTAATTGTTGAGGGAACTCCTCAACGGTATATTGTAACTACCTTGTGTTTGGGCTTGTATAATTTGTATTGGTTAGAACACCTATGTAGATTATAAGTATCAAAACGGGTATATCTTTCTTTACACTGAAAATGATAAAATAATAAAATAAAAACTGCGTTTAAAAAACCCGACTTCAAAAAACCAAAAACTAATAACAAACAAAAAGTCAAAACTAAAAAGCAAAAAATAACTATTATTATTACTGATAGGCTACCCACCCACTGATAGGTTAGAAGTCGGTGCCATAAGCTCATATCATAATGATATAACTTAATGCCCACAAAATTGAGAATTAGGTATCTATTGAGGTTTTAATGAATAATTTTGTATAGACGTGGATAGACATAAGTCATTGTAATTTAAAAACTATAACTATGACTTACCAATTTCGTTTACCTATATTTTCCTGATAATCGTTGGAACCTTGCCTATCACCTGGTGCCATTTGATCGTCGAATTCAGGAACATCCTGTATGTATAGATGTCAATCTAGGTAAATGTAAAGTATTCGAGCTACCCAATTGAGACTTTGCACATTTAACTAGTCCAATATTGACATCATATTCTGAGAGAATGAACTATCTGGTACTATTAGGGTTCGACAAAAAAACAGCCCGTTTTAGCGTCTTTGTCTAATAAGTCTAATAACTAATGAATAATTTCTCCAAATTCTACAATCATTATTGCTTTACTTCAATATAAATTATTAAAAATTCAATTACAAGTAACGGCATATAAATATTATTGACGACAGCATTGTTACAATACCTGCCCACACATGAGCAGGAGCGTAAGCGACCAAACAGTGATATTCCCCGATTAAATGGGATCAAGGTTGCGTGATGAGCCATTCTACAAGTATGATTTGGGTATATCCCGATCCAAAGATCATTTCTAATCTGTCTATGTTCTAAGTAGCCACCTATGTACATTGGCCAATAACCTCGACAAGCACGCATAGTATAGACCTCACCAACATCCGAATACCTCTTCATGCATCCTTTTGTATAAGGACCCATTCGGTGTAATGTCATACCACGACTTGGGCTATATTCATAATCGCCATACCACCAATAACCTTTATACCTCCAAAATCCATAATTTCGATAAGCCCAGTTGTAGTAACAGGCGGTTCGAAAAAATCTATCCAATGTTCTATATTTCCAATTTCTTGAATGGAACGCTGCATGACACAACTTGTGCCGAGACGTACGATAGCCGCCGGGGGTTGCGTAGCAAGTGTAACAGTGAGCCGCCCACCAAGCATTTTTCCAAGCCTTCTCTTCATGAGAATCCCATAATATACCCTTTCTGGTATTATTAAAACGTTGTTCTTTTTTGTCTATGCCAGAGCTTTTGTTCATGTAATCTTCGATTAAGGTGTATTCCGGCACAAGGGATGGATGTATTGTAATTGTACTGCGTCCGTCCTCGAAGTCGCTTAAAGGTATCGTAATGTCATCGTCATCATTTTCGACCAACATTGTGTCATTCTCTTCGTCATTGTCATATTCACCATTTTCCTCATTTTTTTTCAATATATAAGGCATCTGATATCGGCGAAGTTGTGTCTTTCTCTGAACAGTTAGGATATCCTTTAAGTCAGGTCGTTCCGTAATAAGTGCGTCGAATGTCTCGTCATCCATGTCGGATGGTAAATATACAGGTTGTGGACCATCCAATGATGTATATTGAGTTGTAACTTCTAAAGCAGTTATAAAAAATAAAATTGTAAAATACAATCGAATCCAATATACCGACATGTCAAAAAAAAAACTAATGCCCTAATGCCAGACCGTTGACAGATTGACACTTAATGACTAGCTACTCTATACATTTAAAAAGATTTTACATGCTTAATGGCAGAATCACTGATATGATAAGAGTATGGATAAGAAATAACTAGGAAAAAATCGTGCCTACATAAACTTCCCTTGGTCACCTGTAATGGCGGATAGAACTAGGGATGTAACTTTTAAAACTGTAGAAATATCGATATTTTAGAATTGGTTTTAATTGACTTATCAATAAAATATCATTATTTTATGATTCATCTGGATTTAATTTTTAT